AATATTCCCGCGCACACACATGATCGATCCATCACTTATTTTCTCCTCTTTATTTCAGGATCACCAAGGTAAGTGTTCGCAAGTGTACGCCGCGTACACGCACCACTACCACTACGTCATGATGTGTAATTGCCTTAAAAGCCGCTGGATGCTGAAACAAGCTGCATAAGATGGAGCTCGCGCGGAGAGAGAGGAAAAAAACACACTCGCGTAGTTTTCGCACGAGACGTGCGCATTGTTTTTTTGGCGGACCTCATTTTCCCCTGTGAATCCCGGTGTTGCGTGCATGCCCGCGTATACAACAATGCTTATATCGATTGCTCACTCACCACGTACGCTTTCCCGATCGCTTAATTGCAATTGGCTCCCATCCCCTGGGCCAAGGGAACCTACTTACTAGAAGCTTACTTACTTACTTACACACATACAATAGCCTCAGCATCTTTCCACATAGTGCATGTGCGCGTGCATGACGGAAAGACGTAGCGCTGTTTTCGCCAAGGTATACAAAGGTTTACCGCTTCTCGTTTTCACATTGTGTTATAGATAGCGATAGTGCATCGTGAAAGCTGGCTATAGGTAACGTGGCTTGCAATCCGTATCGGATGTGTTCTCCGAAGACATTTTGTTAATCGTAGCGGTTCACTGTACGGCATTGTTGAAGGTACTCGCTCTGTACCCAGGTTTCTATTCAGCTGTTCGTGTTACTATAACTATAGACACCATCGGAAATGTCACCAACCAAATTACCGATCCGACGGAAAGGAAACGCTGTATCTATTCCCACCATGTAATTCCCGTGTCAGAGATGTGTGTTTGTCGTGTGTATCTCCGGTGTCAAACTGTCACACCTGTACGCATGCGTGCGATGGAATGCCAGCGTGGAGGCACGAACGGTTCAGCCTGGCTACAGAGCGACTGCTCTTCAAGGGCATGCTTAGTCGTGCATTTAGCTATCGTTTGCATCCCGTACTTCCCGGCTATTCGTTAGATAAGCTATCGTAGGTGAACGCGCGTATAACGTATGTGTATTTGGGCTTGTTGCATGCAGCCCGCTGACCACGGCCACCAGCAAATCAGTGTTCCGTCTCAGTGGACGACAGATCAAGCAGGAATTACTCAGCTTCTGCCAACGAAAAACGCGCGGCTATGAAGTATGTATAGAACACGAACGAGAATGACGCACTGGGGCTTTCTTCCTTTCTTCCATTCTTCTTCCTTGGTCTGTTATTATATTGGGTTTTATGTTTTAACGTACATGGGTATCGTATCATTCATTGCCATGCTATCGACCAGCGATGACACGGTGCGGAAGACCTAATCAACTTGTTGTTTTCCGGACACGTTGCCTGACCACTTGCTTGCTTGACCACGTCACCAACGCAGTGCGGTACTTGCAATAGACTTTTTCACTTCGAGCCGATGCCTCGAACATTCACGCGTACTAACAAAAGCTATTTCCGAATAAGCAGTGATTGTCTATCGAAATTTCACTACCCAAAATCACATGATTTTGGCCGCAATTCTGACCATTTTACGATGATTTTCGAGTCTAGTTGGAAGGGGATATTGCATGGTTGATGCCGTGACCTTGGTTGCATTGTCTAAACACGTATATCGCCTTCGGAATGGTTATTTTTCTCCCTGCATTACTCTCACATTTAATCTTGCTTCGCACGTATGTACGAGTAGATTAGCATGCATGCTATCTAGCGACGAATCCGATAATAAGTATAATAAATGAGAATATAAGGATAAGTATCCGGTGCCTAACTTCTCTAGTACGTGGCTTCGGTGGGTGTTTTTGTCGGTTGCGACTTGGTTACACTTGCTCTCATCAGGGTTTGATATGCACCCACGCTACTCTCTTTCTCTATCTGTCTCTCTCTATCTGTCTCTCTCTCTCTTCATGCACAGTTCTCTGTCACCAACTTCTCCCGGTGGCGGGAAGGAAGCTGTCGGCCTTGTACGTAACCCGAGCGCAGTGAAGGAAATGCTGCTAGCCTGGGCTCAGGCCATGACGAAGGGTTATGAAGTACGTATTTATAACTCCATATATGGCACTCCTGCGGCTACAAGTCGGTGCTACAGCCGCGCTAACCACTGTCAGATAGATTTAAAATATCTTAAGATGATCTTAAGATACCTCAAGATATCTTGAGATCACCAATATGATAGATTTAAGTATCTTTATGTCGGATCAGGGTCTATCGATGTCGGACAGTATTTTAATTATAAGCATAATTAGCATAGACCACCCCCGAGGCTCATAGTAACTATACGCGCTCGGAGCAGAATCTGAACTTTTTCCAATTATTTTATCTATTGATCGCTCCTGGCGTGTTATACAGCCCTTTCTTCTGTTCACTACATAAGCAGCGTGTAGCGATGGAGTCGTCATCGTGTGTTCTTCTCCTCTTCGCAGCATGTGGAGATAACAAACTTCTCTAGCAGCTGGGCGACTGGCATGGCATTCTGTGCCCTTATCCATCACTTCTTCCCGAAGGCTTTCAACTACACCAGACTGAACCCTAAGAACAGAAAGGGAAACTTCAAGCTCGGCTTCAAAGTTGCCGAGTACGTCACCAATCCATCTATTATCCTGATAGAATCTAGTGCTAATTATACAAGAAATAGAAATAGTCTCCATGTAATAGTATGATTGATTGATAGATAGATAGCACTTAGATAGGATAAATAAAATATGATAGATAGCATAGATAGATCAGATAATAATCGCATAATAGATAGATAGCATTAGGAGTAATAGATAGATAGATAGCATAGAGTGATAGATAGATAGATAGATTAGATAAATAGAATAGATAGAATAGCTAATAGATTAGATAGATAGATAATAGCATAGATAGATAGAGAGATAGATAGATAGATAGATAGAGAGGATAGACTAGATAGCATAGATAGAAGATAGAAGATAGATAGGATATGATAGATAGATAGATAGATAGATAAGATAGATAGATAGATAGATAGATAGATAAGATAGATAGATAGATATATAGATAGAGGAGATAGCATAGATAGATAGAATAGATAGATAGATAGAAGAAAATCGCTTTGGCATAGGATTGATTCACCGGTGGCTAGATGGGCAGACGATCGGTAAGAAGGGCGGACGGACGGGCGGGCAAGCAGGTAGCTCTACCAGCCCCCTTCGCCCCTGCTACAGGAGTCTTCCTGTACAAGCTTCATGTAACAGGAGCGAAGGGGGATACACTGGTAGAGCTAGCGGGCAGGTGGCCGTATTGATGTATGCATGCATGGACATCATATGATTTACTTTGATGGAAGTATATTGACGTTGCAGCAATAAGCATACATGCTCATGTTGTTCTATTGTAGGGACTTGGCTGATGTGTATCCGCTGCTAGATCCCGAGGACATGGTGTTAATGGGAAATAAGCCAGACTGGAAATGCGTGTTCACCTATGTGCAGGCTTTGTACCGCGGACTCCACGATAAGAAGCCCGACGTCTAAATCCGACACTCACTCGGACGAAACCGCAACGAAATTAAAAGCAGCTTCGCGAGATGGCGCCACGATCGCTTAAGCATCATGTCCGTTCGGCTGGCTTTCAGGAGCAGGCAATTCTCTGTGTTTTCTTGAAACCGGTATCGTGCTAGTGCTGAAAATAACCGCGCAGTGACAAATTCCATTTGAAATTGGATTTTTTGATTTTGGGATTTTTTGGAAAAGCAGCAACAGTTGATACTTGGTTGTTTCGACGCCCGGATATTAGCATGTTAGCGAGGAGTTTGCCTTATATCTCTCGATTCTCAGCAGCTGTGCAGTATATGATATAGTAAGGAGTAGGGTATATTATCGGTTTAACACCTAAAGTGGCGAACCTACTGCGATTTATTATTCTACTTATTTACATGATCATTGTACTCACAACTCTGCTTTGCTAAGGACATGTTTACGCGCGTGTATATTACACGGTTCGCAGCATGTTATTTGTATAAACAAAATCATGTCTCGTTCATACAGCATATACGAAAAGCGCACGAACTCGTTTTGAGGTAGGAAGCTATAGGATACCTATAGCTAATACGTAAATTTATTACGCAAAAGTGCTGTTAATGTTGAATTAAAATTGGTTGAGATAAATTGTTATTTTCGGCAGCTGACTCCTATTGTGTATGTTATATAATATTATATTATATTTATTAATATTATATCGTCTCTAGGGGGTATATTGTATTTGTTTTATACATTATGTTAATCGTCATTATGTTAATTGTTCTCAACTTCGCAACTTCTCTATCATTGATTCGGACAAATCTCTACAGAATTTCTCAATAAACTAGGCCTGCATAACAACAAATTTGTAGACTTGAGAATTTTGCTCATTAAAATTCTCATATATCGCTGTTTATCTATCTATGTTCAGTCTACCATAATAGGAGGTAGAGTAAGTAACAACATACCTGTAATGTCGCTTAGTTATATTAAACATTAATGGTTATTCTTTTATGGCAGTTTTTCTTTACGGAATTTTTCGTTATCCTAATTAAGTTCAGCGGAATTATCTTGAATAGCAACGGCGACGAGCGACGCGAGCGCCACCTTATCTACATCAGCATAGGACAAGGATTGGCCGCACGCACACACACACACACACACACACACACACACACACACACACACTACACACACACCACGCTCGCACGCACGCACGCACGCAC